GAAAGTGACAGGGTATATGCGATTAGAGAGGGTTCAACCAGGGTTTGAACTTTACCTTGAAGGCTATGGAGAGCTACTGAAGGATTTTAAGTAGGGGACTGACATGCTCAGATTTGTGCTTTAAGAAAGTCCAGTCTTCCAGCAGTGAGGAAGAAAAGTGACAGTGGGGGTGAGGAAACACAGATGACATCAGAGAAAGGGGTGCCTGGTATAGTGTCCCCAGAGGAGGCACCCTCTGTCAATCAGCCAGGAGAGGACACAAACAAGGTGGCTTTTTGTGATGTGCCACTCACAGGGGGTGTCTTCCTCAAATCAGCTGCCAGCCTGAAGGGAGTCCTTTATGGTGCGTCTTTTTGAAAAGTGCACAAAGGTGCCCACTGAGTGTGAGAATTACACAAAAGAGCTGCTACCCTGGGCCGATACAGCCCTGTACGGCTTGGTTTGGCACCTCAAGTCTCACAGTCCAGCCCTGACTTGGTTCAGTGCCACATGCCTTGTGCAACTACACACAACCAATCTGGAGTCACATTTTTTAAGTTCGAATCCCAACTGTGTGACCTTGAGGGTGGTACTTACAATCTGCTCTGTGCCTCTCTTTCCTCATCTCTAAGATGTATCCTGCAGTCACTGTTTGGACAAAATAGCAATGATGACTATCAAGCACTTAGCAGGGTGTCCGGCACAAAGTAAGTGTTCAAAAACTCTTAGCTAATATTGTTTCTAAGAACCTTCTTCTGAATAGGCTTTAAGAAGTAAAACCAGTTTTGAAACAAGGCTCACAGAATTATGTTGACTTTCTTACCAGTGGAGTCTGTTTCGGAATCAGAGTCACTGTCACTATCGTCAGAATACTTCTTGTGTTTTCTTTTAGATGATTTTTTCTTTCTCCTTTTCTTGGACCTTTCTTTTGAATGACTAGACTTCTTCTTCTTCTTCTTTTCTTCTACATAAAATACAAATAAGAAACTAACTTCTAAAGAAGCATTTCTGGGCATCAATTTTATTATATATGAAATATGAATGAGGAAAAGATGATGGGTAAATTGAGTAAAAACAAAGTTTAAGATTGAACATAAACTCATTTTTTAACTTCCCAATATAAAAAAGCTCTGTATTTAAAAGATACCTTCTGAAGTAGAAGCTGAAGTGGTGCTTTTCTTTGGCTCTTCATCCTCTACTGGTGTATGTTCATCAGAGCTGAATTTAAAGAAGATGGTTGTAAGAATCAGAAAAAGGATGAAACATGGACCATGGAGTAAAAAATATAGACTTAAATTTTTCAATGACAAATGATTGTCCACGAACCATTAAAAGCAAGCACTGGACTGATTTTCTAAGAGTACAGTTCGAGGATAATAATATAATCATCATAATGTATTATGTAACCATCACAATATAATAATCATTTACACTTGCATAATGCTTTAGACCATACGAAGTGGTATTCAAACTGAAATAAGCATGTAAGATTTACATTTTCGGAAGAAACCACAGGATAATGTAAGGAAATAGGCTCCACAGGAAAAGATGAAAGAAAGTGGAGATAAGAAGACTGAGGGAAGACATCATAATTTATTCTATGTGTGTAAAGGACATATGGCAGAGCAGCAACTGTTCTTTCTCCCCAGAGCAAGAAGAACCTCACACACTACAGTATAAATAGATTTCAATTCGTCGTGGAGAATTTTGAAAATGAGTTATTAAAATTTTAAAATAGTTTAAAATAGGATTTCCATATCATATAATCTTTTCATCTGGAGATCAGATTTGGAATAACCCCAGAAAATTATTTTAGGGTTCTGTCTAACTCTAATTCTATTCGGGTTGTTATTATTTGTAAGTACAAGTTTCTGATAATAATGCTTTACCACCCTGTCAAAAATTACAAAGTATACCTGTGAAATTACAAAGTATATTGTCTCAACTCAACCTAAAGTAGACACAGAAATAGAGAGAAGGAGCAGCTTATGAATAGCAAAAGAGAAAAAAATAAGAAAAAGGAAGGAGGATTAAGCCTTCAGATACTATTTGATGCAGGAAAACTAAACAAAACTATATCGGTATACTCATTATAAAAAATTCCTTTGAGAACAGAATAAAGAGCCCAGAAATAAACCTAGACATATGTGGTCAATTAATTTACAACAAAGGAGCCAAGAATACACACTGGGGAAAGGACAAGTCTTTTCAATAAATGGTGCTGGAGAAACTGGACAGCCACATGCAAAAGAGTAAAAATGGATCACTATCTTATACCATACACAAAAATTAACTCAAAATGGATTAAAGAATTGAATGTAAAACCTGAAACCACAAAACTAGAAGAAAATATAGGTGGTAAGCTACGTAACATCAGTCTTGGCAATGACTTCAGATTTGACACCAAAAGCAAAGCAACAAAAGTAAAAATAAACAAGTGAGACTACTCCAAACTAAAAACCTACACAGCAAAGGATACCATCAACAAAATGAAAAGGTAACCTACTGAATGGGAGAAAATATTTGCAAATCATATATCTGAAAAGGAGTTAATATCCAAAATATATAAAGAATGCCTATAACTCAATAGCAAAATCATCATCATCATCATCATCATCATCATCATCATCATCTGATTAGAAAATGGGCAGAGGACCCGAATAGACATTTTTCCAAAGAAGACATACAGATGGCCAACAGGTACATGAAAAAATGTTTAACATTATTAAAAATCAGAGAAATGCAAATCAAAACCACATGAGATATCACCTCACACCTGTTAGAATGGCTATTATCAAAAGGACAAGAAATAACAAGTGTTGACAAGGATATGAAGGGAACCCTTGTGCACTCTTGGTAGGATTGTAAATTGGTACAGCTGTTATGAGAAACAGTATGGAATTTCCTCAAAAAATTAAAAATAGGTCTTTTTCCCTTGTCTTGGGATTTTGTCTTTACTTTCTCTAGTCTTTACCTTTCCTCCTCTTTAATAAACTTTCCTTTTGACCCTAAAAAATTAAAAATAGAACTACCATATGATCCAGCAATTCCTGTTCTGAATTTTTATCCAAAAAAAAACCAAAAACACTAATTTGAAAAGATATATGCACCTCCATGTTCACTGTAGCATTATTTACAACAGCCAAGATATGGAAACAACTTAAGTATCCATTGACAGATGAATGGATATAGAAAATGTGGTATATATGTATACACTCACACACACAATGGAATATTATTCAGCTATAAAAAGGAAATCTTGCCATTTGCAACAACATGGATGGACCCTTGAAGGCATTATGCTAAGTGAAATAAGTCAGACAGAGAAAGACAAATACTATATGATCTCACTTACATATGGAATCTAAAACAACCACAAACAAACAAAGCTCACAGACACAAAGAATAGACTGGTGGTTGCCAGAGGCAGAGGTTGGCAAAATGGGTGATGGGAGTCAAAGATACAAAATTTCCAGTCATAAAACAAATAAGTTATAGGGATATAATGTACAGCATGGCAACTATAGTTAATATTGTATCGCATATTTGAAAGTTGCTAAGAGAGTACATTTTAAAAGTTCTCATTACAAGAAAAAAATTCTGTAAGTATGTATGGTGACGAATATTAACTAGACTTATTGTGGTGATCATTTTGCAATATATACAAATATCAAATCATTATGTTGTATGCCTGAAACTAATATAATGTTGAATGTCAATTATACCTCAAAAAATTCCTTTGTAATGCTAACATCTGACATACAATCTGCTACTGGGTTGAGAAAACATAATTAGAAATAGTGTAAATGTATTTAACACCGAACCCCTCTATGAATAGGAAATTAGCACCTCCATGAATTACAATTTAAAGAGAACAATTAGCAAGCTAAAATCTACCAGAAACATGTTTTAAACCTTAGGTATGTTCAATGTTTTTAAAACTTAAGGGGTAGAATAGCATAAATCACTAGAAAGAAGAAAAATGTGAGCTGTACTTAAAGTTTTTCACTTAAAAATTTTGACAATAGACTCTGGATTTAAACAAACGTTATTTTTAAAAAATGCATTTTTAAATCACTTACTCTGGTTCTGGATTCTTTGGAGAAAGTCCCCATACTTCAGGAGCTCCCAATTCTCCAATCCTCTCTCTCTCACTTAATCTCCTAGAAGATATAAGCATGTAAATTATAACTCCATGTCTAATTCTGTTTCCTAAATATATGATCAAATTCAAAAGAGTCCAGTTAAGTCCTATTTTCTCTTACATTTAAAAAACTTCAGTCTATGGCCATGCTACTCTGAACAAGCCTGATCCCATCTGATTTCAGAAGCTAAGGAGGGTTGGGCCTGGTTAGTACCTGGATGGGAGACCACCTAGGAAGACCAGGTGGTATAGGCGTAAAAAATAAAAAAATAAGGGATTGTAAGCTGACAAGGTCCTTACAATCTGTGAGGTCAACCAAGGGTTACCTCATCTAAAAAAAAAAAAACAACCAAAAAAATAAAAAGACAAACAAAAACAAAAAACTTTAATAAAAACTTGGCTTAAATGTAAACTCAAATGTAAACTTATGATCTGATGTTTTGATAGCACTATCAAATAGTACAGCCTACAGACAGACTGAGAGGGCTGGGCCAGAAATGCAGCCTGGGAGACTGTCAAGTGTATCCTTTCTGTCACAGGCATGACATAGCTCCTAACTGTTCACTGTCTTCTTCAAAATGTGACAGGCACAGTTTTACATTTGGAAATTACTTCATTTGTTCACATCCATTTAGGAAAGTAAAGAGAAGTCTTTACTTTTGATTTGGTCCAAACTTCATTTGCAGAAACTCAGGAATAAATGAAGAAAATAAAAATGAAGCATTAGAAGTAGAGAAAAAAGGGAGCTCTGAAAATGAAAGTGAATTTTTGATAAAAATTGTACTCGATGAGATACAGGATTTTCTTTTTCTGTTTTCCCTTTAGTTCCTATTTAGAAAAGGAATACATTCTCTACTCTTGGAGATCACAAATTTTTTTTTTTGAAAAATGACTGCCTGATAATTTATTTCTTCCAATGGCGATAAGGTACATTTACCATAATCGTATTCCATGGCACTCTTCAATTGTATGGTAATTATAAGCACACAAAAACTTCTGCCAACTACTCTTTGGCTGTTATAAACAAATTACTAAAATGTCTTAATCTTAGTTATCCCAAATGTAAAATGAGCAAAGCAATATGGTTTTTGTGAGAATTCAGAAAGATAACTCTTCAAATTTATGTTTGTGATTTCTTCTCTTAATTTTTGCTATTACTCATAAACGAACAAAACAAAAAAATCTAAGGCTCAATTCCTAAGTTTAGCTGCTTGTGACTCCATTAAAAAAAAACTTTACGAAATAAATATAATTGGTTTGATTGTTTGAATAAACGATTTTTTACTGCTTTCTTCAGGAGGAGGAGTATTATAATCATGCAGTCAGACTCAGGTTTCCCACTTGAAGAAACAGACAGCATCTAATAAGGGACATATTTATAACTAAACTTGGAATATTATGCATACAGAGAGAAGAATGCCTGACAGGCTGTAAAGAGTAAGCAGTCAAGTTCTCATCCCTGCTGCCACCTGGCCTCATTTGTACTCTTAAAATAAATTATTTATCTTCTAAATGTACAAATGCAAATTTCATCCAAGAAGTTCCAACATCTTTTGTGAGAATTGTCTAGTAAGAAGCTGGTTGCTTTTTGATTGACATAACTTGGGGGTAGTAGCTTTCTGAAAATTTTAATTTGGAGTGGTAGGTCTTCAACCTGACTCAGGGCCATTTTTACTGTTTCTGTTCCCTAGCAGGAAAACCTAATACCTAACACTTAAGGACTATTATGCTCTGAACACTATATCTGAAATCATTATAACTGTGAAATCATTACAACTCTGAAAACAGTCATGCTAATTTTATCCCCATTTAAATGAAGAAATGAAGCTCCAAGAGAGGTTAAGTAATTTGCTCAAAGTCACACAACTACTAAGTTAGCAAAGCAGGGCTTCAAACTCAGGCAGTCTGATTCTGGAGCCTGTCTTCTTCATCACTGTGTTTTATGACTGCCCATTCCCAGAACAATTCATGGAGACATCTCCCAGCTGTTGGAAACTTAATCTTATACTTTATAACTTAATACTTGAAAATTTTTTTTAACACAGTGTGTGTACTTGCTACAGTGCCTGACACATAATTTAACATTCAATAAGCATTCGGTATTGACTTAAAACCCCGTTTTCCTTCTCCTTAAACGATACATTTTCCCAGTCCAATACTCACTCTCATTAGAAGAAACCTGATCTCACCCGGACCTTACTTTTCTTGGTCAAGATTGAAACCACTTAACAAGAGCTTTCTCAACGTAGCCTAACCTACAGTTTAGCAGATCACTTTCTACGGTCATTCAATTGTCTAGTCTCAGGTTTTTCTCCTCTCCAATTTAAACCCTTCATCTCAACCCTTCTCAACTCTAAAAAACATTTCTCTTACATATCCTGTTATCAGCTCAAACCCGTCTGATCATTCGACAAGCAATGGTTGAGTGCTGTGAATTTTGTGATTGATAAAATAGAGCTCCTCCTCTCCATGAGATCAGTCTAGTGGGGAATAAAAACATGCTCACGAATGATAACCAAGTAAATGCTATGTAATTCCGGTAGGCCATGTCCGCTACAAGCCAGGAGGCAGAAGGGGGTAGCGGGAGACCAGGATACTGTACTAAAGGGACCGAGGATGAATGAAAACCTAAGGGAAGAAAGGAGCGAATCCAAAGCATTGTCTTGGATCGAAGGAATGAAAATGGGCGCAAGACAGGCAAAGAGCGAAATGCAAAGTCAGTAGCGGGATGAATGATAAATCGAACTCGGAAAGCAGGTGGGCTCATGCAAGAGAAGGTACGTCTGTCTCACTCACTTCTGCCGCAGACTCTCCTCTCTCTCCTTATCCAGGAGGCTAGGCCATGGTTTGTCGCTCCCGTAGGGGCGTGAGTAGCCGCCATAATAGGCGGACGAGGAGGCAGAAGCGAAGGGGGTGTTCCGCGTCGCAGAGGGCCGCTCTCGAGAGCGTGACCGTGAGCGGGAGCGGTAGGGCTGGTTTCGGGAGCTTTGGCTGAAGCCACTCGGCTGATGGCTGAGGCCATTCCGATCCCCGGACCGAGAGCAGGAGTGCGAGCGAGAGCGGCGGCCCCGCGGGGAGCGGGCGGATTTGCTGGACTTGGGGCTCTTCGAGGAACTGCGACGCTTCCCCCTGGAGCCCAGGGCCTCCCTCTCTGGGCTGCGCGAACCAGACACCGGAGCCATCAGTGCCGCTGGGTCCCCAAAGCCGGAGGAAAAGGGAGAGCTCTCGCGAGCCTAGGAAGACCCAGGTTGCATTGACTCCCAGAACCCGCTACCGCGCCACAACCCGAACCTGAGAACACCTTGGAAACAGTTCCGGGTACGTCGTCAAATACCTTCCCCGGACCTAGGTGGTCCTGCCGACGGAACATGATGTGTGTATCGGCATAAAGAAGCCGGTGGGGCAACCGTGTCTGCACATCCTCCCGGTTCCGAGAGAGGTTGCTCAAGTCTAAGCGGGACTGTTGGTTTTATACTCTCTTCATCCTCGAATTGAAATACCTGAAGGGAAAGACAACAGGCCACAGGACACTTTTCACTGAGCGACCGTATAAAGAACAAAGCCACTGTAATTGATGTGTGTGTAGGCACCCACACCCACACAATTATTTCTTTCTGATACCAAGCAAAATAAATAGGATTTATCAAAATTGATAGTTAGCTATGATGTCTGAACCCCATATTGCCTGGTTAGTTTAGAGGGTACAAATTCTATGTAAATGACTCGAGCCTGATACACTCGTTAAGTTTGCAGCCTAGAGAAAAAAACTGCATGTTCATTTCCCAGGAACTCATCTCCACCAATGTGCTCCAGCAAAAGGAATTTGTATCCCTCATCTTCTGTGTCCCCTTAAACAAGTCCCATCATATGCTAGCTCAGCAATATATGGTTAAGAGTCATTATTTCTATGCATTTTATACTGTTTTTAAATGAAAGAGCATTGGAACACCAGTTCTACTGACTTTAATTTTTGGAGGTACAATGAGTTTGCTGTGGAAATTCTAAATCCATGCTACTAGTAGCTAGATGGCCTCTGGGTTTTTCTTCCTAAGAAGTAACTTATCAGACGGAAAACTAATTCTATTAATTATTGAAAATATTTTTTGAAGTTTAAAGGAAAGATGTACGACATAATGTTAAATGGAAAAAGTGGGTCACACTATTGGATATCTTATTTTTTTTTTCTGATCGGAGAATAGAGGTAGAATCTTATTTTAAGATAAAATATGCCATGAATTATTCACATTGGTTCTTCAACTCAGGACTACAGAGCTTTTGTTTAACCTCAATAATCATATCTGTATTTCCTTTCTTCTACAAAAGAAATTCCAGTTCTCAATGACCCTAATATAATTACTCATTTATTTTATCCCACAACACACATATAGCAACATCAGTGTAAAAATACCAATATTACCACCAAAAAAAAAAAAAAAGAATTATTGAAAGGAGTTGAAGATTTTTTTCTTTAATTATTTTTATCCTTAGAGCATGTCCCACTAGGGATGCATGATCAAATTACTGTATCCTAAACTTAAAACTGACATAAAATTGTTTCTATGTGGTTATGACACTAATTTAATACACAAGTTCATTTGTTTAATTTTACTTCCAATATTTAGAGACTACTTTTTTATTTAATATTGTTATACTACTGTGTTGGATATCTACTATGTAAAAACAATTGGTCATGAGATGAGGACCGAGAAATTAAGAGAAGTTATATGATTTAGGGTAGAGATTTGGGGAAATTTCTAATAAGAAAGTTTCCAATGGAAAACCTACACCTAACTTTTGTGACACCAAGCTGTACACTTTCATATCAATTACCCCTAAAAATCAACTTTGCAACAGTTCTCAGTCTACTTGCCCAATGGCTGGTAGGCATGCACTTTAGTTGCAATGAGAAAACCCCTGCCTCCACTCCCCTCATTGGCATGATTCTCTTCTTGTTTAGTTTCCTTGGAATAGGACTGTAATTGTTTAAGAAGTTGCAAAATTAAAACAAAGTTTTTAATCACTAATCTGTTTTGAAAGAATTTACAGGCTCACAACCCAAACTACATAATTTTAAAAAATAATTTTATTCTCAAATACAGACTTGTGATCTCTAACAACTCTACTGGTGTGCTGGCTTTGTTGGTTCCTCTAACACCTGGATCACAAGAATTTCTTCTCAAATGATGAATTGATGCTCCATTTACAGGAAGGAGATTGATGATATTAGGCCTCCAGATGTATGGGAAATTTCTCAAACTCTGGGATTAGCCAATATGAATTTCACATTGAAAAGAATGTGCCATAAAAGGACAATTATTTCTAATTTAACCTCACTGGGAGGAGCTGTGTCTGCTAACAGATAGAAATGTGGCTGGAGATTGTGGGAGTATTCTGACAACCAAAAATAACACAGGATGAAATGGAAAGATGTGACCATTCCAGGATATATTTGAGATAAA